ATTGACAAATGTCTGTACACCTAGGTGTCATAAAGCCTGTAGCTGTTGGATTATGGTACTCAAATGGAACTCAGAATATTCTGGAACTTAGCTGTAAGGAGGCAAAACACATACATGTATGGATCAACATATCAATCTGAAGTGACTACAGTACACTGATAACTGCATGCACACAATTGAAAAAAAAAATGGTTTCAACCCCTTCATCTGACAGGAGTGTTAAGTGTACTTGAATTTTAGATGCAAAATCAAAAATTGGCTTTATGTCGCAAACTAGAAATGGTGAGCAAGACAAGAACTCCACAACCACTAGAAAACATAACTTTAAAAAATTAACATGGTGATGAGGATATTCAAAACTTACTTAGTATTCACAGCAATGTCTTTACAGAATTGTCACACAGTCTGGGTGTTTTTCAATGGATCTCTGTTTATAAAGGTTAATTACAACAAAAAATGATTGCCATTAGATGTGTATACAATTCAAATCCACCCACCTACGTACACTGTATAACTATGAAATATAAATAAATGAAATAATTCTATAAAGATAAAATGGACAAATACAGTATAATGGAAGAGGTTCAAGTATGCAACCAACAAAGTCACAGTGTGACTAATTTTTTTTCGTTTGTATAATTACCATCTTCCTCAATCATGTTTACAATAACAATATTTAATTAACTATCTAACTGTTAATGACTAGGTTTTGACTAAATAATGGTTATTTCACAAAGCTTTAGATTAATTACAAGCAGTAAAATATTTTTCAACAATCACATGTTTACATGCATAATTACTCAAATATAATAATAAACAAAATTTGTGGGAGATCCATTTTGAAAAACAGAATTCCACCACACCATTTTGTTGGCTGGTATAACATCATGCTGGTTTACAGCAAAATGTCAGGGTCTTAAAAACTTTTTTGCATTGCAAGTAAAGAGAACACTTGTTTAATCACTGAGATTTACAGGCAACCAAATTATTGCTTCATATGACAACTCAATCACAATTGTTTCATTGACACTTGGCACCTAGGTAAAAATGAATTCTACACCAACAATGAAATAAAAACAGAACTAGGTGAGCATTTCAAAGTAGCTCAGATTAGTAACAGGAAGCTTGTAGGGATTGGAAAAGACACTGTTCTTTACTATAGTTTCAAGTCCACAAGTAAAATTTAAATTTATCGCAGGGGTAAGTTAAAATAGAACAAACATCTCACAGGGGTTAGAGGGTGACAGAAATTAAATGATTCAATTAAAAATTAATGCTCTCTTCCATTTGATGCAGAGTAAAGCAAACAGGAGAAATTTTGACAAATATTGGGCAAAGCAAAGCTGTCTGTAGTGAAGCCATTGCTCAGCTCAGAGTTAAACAGTGAACTGGAACTACAATATGTAGAAGACTCAATGACCATTTTAAGATTAAACCGAGTGCTCTACAGTGTCAAAGCAACTATATTTAAAAAAGCAACTACAGCAGTAAAAGGTAAAAATTAGAATATAGCACTTTTAATTAATTGCCAACAATATCAAAATTAACTTGAAGAAAAAGACGATTTATTCGTAAACCGCTGGGATATAGGAAGCTGGGCAAAGTCATGATCGCAAATGCATGTCACATTAAAAAATCCTCTAGAAGCATTCACGATATTCCAGAATTATCTTGGCTTTAGCCNTGAGATACTGGGAAAACAAAGAATTCATAGGTGCAGTTCCCTATAAATAACCAGGAACATGATGAGATAGGCAACTTTCACTTTCATGATCAAGCAATGCAAAGGTTGCTAATCTAAAATGAGCATATTTATTATACAACTGTTGTAAATGCCAATCTCCAAAACTCACCTAAGCAGCCATAAAACTGTGCCACATTACTCGAGCATACATGAGTATGAAACCTTGGACATCCAGTAAAATAATCTAATAAATGCATGTTCGCTTATGTTAGCAGACAACAACCTTACCTCCGTAACTTTCCTCTCTACTCGACGACTGCAAATGTTGGTGTTTAATGAAACTGAGCTACAGCTGCTGTACAACTTCGACTTGGTGAGATGCACTTTACACAAAGAACTGTTTTACAAGTTCAGAGCCGAGCTGAAAGGAGGAAACACAAGGATTCTTTAGCTGAAACTTCACTCCATCGGCCTGTTGATTCACCAGGAAACTGCTTAACTAAGCACATTCCACTCAGGCATGTCAGTCACGTGATAAGATAATCTTTACCCCAAGACGGAGTGTTGAATGTTCTAAAAATATGTCGCGCTGTTACTTGTGGTAGTAACAGTTTTGCCGAAAATTCCACAGATGACCCTTTAAGTCATAAAAAGAAAGAGAAATAGTCAGCGAAATACTGGAATTTAAGCATTCCGTGACTCTCTGAGGACATGCTGAATATGCGCACCAAGCCACGACCATAATAGTCAATTTCCCAAGTACCCTTGGCCTCATTTTCAAAACGAGTCACAAGAATGTCAGAGCACCAGGCCTCGTCCTGAAAAAGGGGCCAAGGGTAATTCGGAAATGGGCTATTGTCTAGAAATAATTACCTCTAAGCTGTCTAGTTAGGAAACTAGTGTAATTTTGAACAACATTTTCCATTTTGGACAAGAGATAGAGTTCATCTCTGTCATCTGTTGCAGTATCTCAGAAAACCAATCAGTTATTCCACAAAACATGCGCTAACGTCTACATCACATTGGATAAAACACTTCAAGTTGGGCGAACTCAAAGCAAGAGAACAGGAATCAGGCGATACACCCTGTTGTCTGTACATATGTCCGGTTAAAATTAAACGGAAGCAAGAAACAAAATACTGTAGCTCTTTGATAGTAATTTAATATAACAAGAAGCCGTTTGCGATTTATTATGAAAGTTTGTTTGTTTTGTATAGGTTGTTTTTAATTTTTTTTCTTTTTAATGCAAAATGGGGAGGTCACCTTATTGTTTCGCACTTTTGAAACTTTTAGTTTGAAACAGCACAGAGTTCCTATCTCTTAAAGAAAAGCTAGTATGGGGCTTGTAGTCAGATTTTTTTTGTTGTTGTTTACAGGTAAATGGGTCTATAACAAGGGGGAGGTTATAAGTTGCGGGGGGGCTTATCAGCCGCTATTTACACGCGGTAGGACATCTGCAGGATATCGATGATCACTCTCCGATTTAACGGGCAAACATTCAAGGCAATCATCCACCTTGGAGTTATCAATCAATTCAAAAGAAAATTCTTGTCTCAGGTTCATTTCCATTGAAAATTTTGCTGATCTTTAACAAATAAA